TGCGAAGACGGGAAGAAAGTGGTTGGACAATATTTGCCTTTTCGCACTGCAATCCGGCTGAGGGACCTAGTGTGGAATCCGGGAGACTGGGAATGCCCCCCCCCAGAGGACACACAGGAGAACCATGCCGCTCCAAGAGGTGACCAGAAAGCATGTTTACAACTCGTTGTTGGAACCCGTGAACATCTGCGGTGAGCTGAAGGAGAGGTGGGCTAAACGAGAGTGGCTGCTGGACGGGCGTCTCACTAACTGGACACAGCGGAGGTGGAACGAACAATGCAACATCATGGCTGCCTTGCCAGATCAGAAGCAGGCGGGCCTGCTATGGCAGATCTAGCACCTGGCAATCCCGACTGCGCAGTGGCTGGCCACCAAGAGTTGTCATAAGAACCAAACTTGTGCTACACAATGCGGCCAGGTGGAAACGGTCCCCCACCTCTTTGTGCGATGTCCAAGGGTACAGGTGTTTTGGGAGTGGTGAGCGCAGGAAATTGCAGACAAGACACCACTACAGGTCGTCGAAACGACCGACGCAGAGATCTTACTAGGTACCCTGATCAAAGCTAACAGGCAGGGTATGGGAGAGATGGTGGTGGAAGAGATTGTAAGGGCAGCTGTGTTATGGGCCCTATGGACACTGAGAAACGAAAGATGTAGGCAAGGAGCGGCTCCGTCACTGTGGGCCTATCAGGAGAGAGCATTGGAGAATATTCGCATTGTTATATTGGCGGACCTGCACCGAAGTAGACGCATAGGGGAAGCAAAGGAGGCAGGCTTTTGGCAGAGATGGGCCCCGTTCCCGCAGATGCTGACGTGGGACCTTAGCACAGGGCAGCTGCAGTTCGGACCAATCTTCCAACACTATGTTCCTGGACCAGAGAAAGGGGATACAAGCACCAGTCAACCAGTAGAATAGAATGGCTTTAAGTAGGTAGGAAGTAGGGGGGAACGGGAGGATGCGGAGGTAGGAGGAGTTAGGAAGCTGGTAGAAGGCAAAGTAGGGAGGAGGGGAAAAAAGGAAAAGAAAGAGTAAAGGATACGGGTTTAACCTGGACTGATGGACATGCTGCTGGGGATAAGACTTAAACCTTTTAAAATAAGGGAGGGCTACTGGTTTTAGAATGGCTTTAAAACCAGAGGGCGGTGTAAATAGAATGAGGGTGAAATGCCGGGTGTAGGGAAGTAACTAGATTAAAAGACTGTAGTAGTTATAAAAAAGAGGATTGAACAGAGGGTGTGACTGATAGGATGGACAAAGGAGATTGGTGTAAAAATTAGACGAGACTTAAGGATTCAATAGGAACATAGGATATTGAAGGATCTAGACTAAAAGAGTGTTAGTAGGTACAAAAACGATGGTTGAACAGAGGGTGTGACTGACAGGATGTGAGGCCCGTGAGACTGCTAGAACGCCCCCCCCTGGCCAGGCCTTCCCTGGGGACCCATCTGTTGTGTGGCTGGGTGCTGCTAGGAAGCCTCCCAACCAACAGAAGTATCCCTGGGGAGTTTATGGTATGGGAAGAGGGATCGGTTGTAGCAATCCCCCCCTTGTTAGGCGTCTAGGGCCACAAGGGTAAGGCTTTCCTCTTTTCCTACAAATCATTTGTACTTTGGAACTCATGCTTGACAGTGATAAGCAACCGGACTGATGCCCCCCAGAATAGAAGGGACTGAGTTGATTTAAAAAAAAAAAAAAAAAAACCTAATTAGTAATAACCCCACCAACACCCCCATACCCGCCCCCAATACCCCATACGCACCCCCAATACCCCCAAACCGCCCCCCAACACCCTCATAAGCCCCCCCGATACCCCCTATACCACCCCTATACCCCCCTATACCCCTCCCCCCCCCAAAAAAAAATCCATACAAGTTGGGGTGTACTCAGCAAGCGCAGTACAGCTTCCATCTCAGATTCGAAAAAAAATCAGTGGATGGCTGTTTTCTGATTAGCCGGCAGACTGCCGACCGGTCGGCCTACTGGTCAACGGTCGGCAGGTATGCACCCCTGAAAAAAAAAAGAAAAAAAAAAAAGTGCTGAAGCCTGAAGGACAGGTACATCCTCGGGAATCCACAGTTGCCGGCAGCAGATTTGGGGCCGAACGACAGGTATTTTCCCGGGTCAATGTTGGACTCCAGGTAGGACTTCTTTGGGAGCCAAGTAATGGGCTCAGCATCAGGCCCTTTTGTTATTATAACTCTTCTGTCGTTCCCCTTTCCGGGAAAGAGACTTCAAAGAGCATGAATTCAGTAGGGATGGCACGCACCCCTTGGCGGTTACATGGATTCTCCTCCTCTGGTCAGGTTCGATACCACAGCCAAACTGTTTTCGACAGCTTTATTTTTTTTCTGCGATTTCGTTCAACTTCAAACTCTTCAGGAACTGTTTTTAAGAACTTGCAATATGTGAAAACTGGAAACCATACACACCTTTCAAAAAAAGAGGAAACCATACACACCTGCCACTCTTAAAGAAGCGCAGCTTAAACACCCCATCGGCTGGAACATCCCTGTGGATAAACAACTTCTCGATGAGCCCTGGGAACTCAGAAAGAGCAGCCACAGCCGACAAGAACCAGCAGTCTCCCAGCAGACCTTGCCGGATATCTGCAGGCTCAATTGCCCCTGAAAACAAGTATTCTTTTCCAGGCAAGATAATTTCTGCAGCTATAATCTCTGCCTCATGTTTCGACGACACAGGTGGGCTGAACGCTGGATCAGCAACAATGCCGAACTCAAGGACTCCTTCAGAGGGATCAAGCCCCATGACAGACTGCCATGGCACCTGTCTCAGCAGCTCTGGAACGTCCACACATGGAATACCAAGACTTGATGCAAATGCCTGTGCCTTTTCTTCTGGAGATGCAACTCTTTCCTCGCCCTCATCGCTGTCAAGCCCGCCACGCACAACAGCAGTCTCTACACTCCCATGGAGAAGAGGTGTGGGCAGCTCCGCATCCAGGTCACTAGACCCGGAAGTAGACTCCGCAACTGGTTCAAGGGTTTTATCTCCTTGCAGCAGCACCGATCGAGGAAGCACAGGTTCCACTGAGCATCCAGCAGCAGAAAGTGGGACAGAAGGAAACTTGGGCTCCTCGCCAGGCAATACCGAATAAAGCACATCAGCCATCAAATTGTGCGGTTGGACAGTTCCGTCCATCGCGCCCTCAACACCAGTCTGTGTATCGGCAGCCTCGGTTTCAAGCTCGACGCCGGCCTTTGCAGCACACAGGTCGGTTGGCACACATGGCTTGGTGACAGCAAAGGGAACCATGGGTGCTTCTGGTTCTGGTCTGGATACGGAATCAGTTTGAACGACAGCTGCAGACTCTGCCTTCGTCATCTGTGCTGTGGAAATCAGCATCTGTGCAGACGCTACAGCGGGCTGTGTGCCTGTCGCACCATCGGAGAAAACCGGTTTGTCTTCCAGCCCTGTGCCTGCATTGGACAGCAACTTTCCGCTCCGCTCAGGAATCTTAGCCAGTTCATCAAACATGTCATCCACAGGTACCACCCACTCACATTCCTCTCCCTCGGATGTGACGTCAGCGAATTGGTTCTCCAGCAGTGATTCCATCCTTTCAGCTCCTGGATTCACATTCGTGTCTGAGAGAGACTCCTCTGCTTTGAGCTCCATGTCCCACTCGTCCCCATCTGATTGAAATCCTGCTTCCCAGATGAAACCTCTGTCTTCATTCTTCACATAGCTGTGGAAGGCAGAGACAGCTGGCTCATATTTGGTGCTCTGTTTCATTACACACAATACGTTTGTCAATCCAAGTGCTATGGCACTACCGTCTTCACCTGAATAAAACGCCCGTGGCCCGCTCATTATAGCTGTATATGGACCAGCTTTCGGTCCAGACTCCAGATACAGCGATAATGACCGGGCATTCTATTCGGGTGAAGACGGTTGTCTGTCTAGGAATGGGCAAACACCTCGATCAGTGTGGAATGCGAAATGTATGCCATTTCAAAAAACATTGGGAAATTGAAAGAAGGAGAAAAAGGCGACGGCAGAGAAGACTGAGATGATAGCCCCAATTGAACCCTCGCCCTCAGGAAGTAATCAATGTTACGGTTCCTTCTATAATGGGCGAAAGTCAGGGTGTGGCTTTATGTGTACGTTTATCATGTGCCAAAGGAAGGGGAGCTGGGCTGATACTCCCCAGAAGAGAGTGGAGCCACAACCATATGGTCTTTGTTTTTTTTTGCCTTCGAAGTTCAAATTTCAAAGTGACCACAATCCAATACGGACACATAAGAGAAAAGGAGTGCAAAGGAGCCCACGGCTGTTATGGAAGAGTAGCTGGGTTTGGTCTCACTAGGGTTACTCAGAAGAAATAGACACCAAACAGGCCAGGCAGTCGATACACACGTTAACAGAAAAGGGTGCTTCAAAATGTCAGCATAAGGGACAGGCATGCTTCTTAGGATGCCAGGATTAGTGAGGATCCGGCAGTCTACCTCAGGACTGCACTTGGAAGGTACTTATGAAGAGCAAACAATGCTGTCCAGGGCATCCTTCAGCTTTGATAGAGAAAAATGGAAAGAAGCTGGTTGCATCATTCTGAGTTGCAGGTGGGTAGGGGTCGTAAATGCTCCAGAAAATGGAAAGGAGCCAGGACCACATGGCCCAGTTCAATTTCAAAGCAGAAGAAACAAAGTGCAACAAGGTGGGCCTAGCTCAGTTGGTCGACCCACGAACTGTTGAAATCCAGACACCATCAAAAAGTGCAAGGTCTATGGTTACCCCAGAGCCGTTCACACACCTGTCCGCGGAAACAGCACACTTGCAGCACATGTGCTGTGAAAGGAGGACAGCAGAGGAGTCACACTTTAGTCAGACTTCCGCAACAGAGGGGAGAGGAACAATAACATGTACGACGACAGGGCAAGCCAAGATATGCCGTTCTCGACACTGGTCACCATGACCAGTGGGATGGACCATGCCCACAAAAAAATGACAACGACACCTCGTGTGGAATCCGTTTGTTGCAGGTCAGGCCGAAAAGGACATTGTGTACCAGAGGTAGCCTGCCGTCACTGTACTGTCCTTGATGATGAAGGAGAAAAGATTAACAGAGCCCCAAACTATCTCCAAATGTAGGGTTGCATACCTGCCGACCGGCGACTATCGACCCCAACTGCCAACCGTTTTGCAGCCGACCAGTATGCCAGACCGACCAGTCAGAAAACAGCCATCCACTGTATTTTTTCAAATCTGATCTGCGGGCTGTTCTGTTCTTGCTGAGTACAGCCCAATTCTGATGAAAAACTTTTTTTTTTTTT